GGGGGAGCCGGCGAACAGGACCTCCAGGCCCCGTTGGCCAGCCTGGAGTGGGGCTGGGGGGGGGAGCCGGCGAATGGGACCTCCAGGCCCCGTTGGCCGGCCTGGAGTGGGTGCCTGGGGGGGGGGAAGCCAGCGGACGGAGCCTACCGGCTCCGTTCGCCGAATGCGCGCCTTACTGTATGTCCGGAAGAATGGCCGCTCTGAAGACGCTGGCTGCATGACTGCCTCCCTCCCCTCCCAGCCACCCAGCCAATGGCAGCCCAGGTTCGCTGAGGGAGCCAGTCATCGCAGGCAGCGTCTTCTGAGTGGCATTTTTTCCGCCCATACACTAACGGGGCGCATTTTAGAATTTTGGCACCCACTATTCAATTATAATAAGGGAGAGATTAAATATATATATATATTCATACACCCTCCTTTCTCCCAAATAACTATAGGACATGAGGCTTGGTCTTGTGTTCTCTTAAACCAGCAGCAGGGTTCTTAAAGGAACAAGACAAGTGTTAAGAAAGTACTGCAATTATTTCCATTTCTTCTCAATTTTAATAACTTTCTTTAAAAGAAGAAGTTATTTTTTCCATGGCTTCAGCTCATAAGTAGATAGTCTAATGGAAGGGGAAATTGATGTCTTTATCATCTCCCTCATGCCCCTTGGAGATGTTTCTATATAAACCTTCCCAGATGTCAAGTGTGACTGCCGATGCCTTGTTTTTACATTTTCCCTTCTCATTTTCTGTAAGATTATGCAGCATTCTCAGTTACTACCAAAGGAGGCATGCCTGGCCCCCTCGGTTTTTTACTAAGATTGTTAGGAAGGCTTTTGAACACAATTGCTGGACAAGGGAAGATACCTGGCTACTGATCTCCCCCCCCCCCCCAATTTAATTTTATATTAATATACAAGGCACTAGCACATTTTCCTATTCTGACCATTAAAGGAACTGATACAAACAATAATTATAAGAAATTTTCCTGATACAGAATTAACTAGCTATGTCAATACTTACCACAGGGCCAATAATAGGCAATTTTCGTACTGTTCTGAAGAACCATTTTTTAGCTCGTAACTTTATATCTACAAAGGAAGTATAAAAGAAAGTCATGCAATCCCCTCGCTTCCAAAGACAGCCATGTATCCTACTGTTCCAACAAGCAAAATTTAAACTCTTTCTCTAACTTAAGCAGCTTTCCTCCAGCACACTTGACTCTTTCTCCAATGAAACAGCCACCTAAGTCAGAGGAAGGCTTTCCTTCCTTCCTTGAAGAAACTCCCCCCAGCCTAAGGCGGGATACAAGCATTTGACAGTGTGATGAGGAAGTCAATAATGACTTCAGGCTATCTACAAGTCCAAAAGTCATTGTATACATCCCACACGTTTCATTAAATGACACTGAAAACAGCTGAGAGTTTTCAGTGTCATTTAATGAAACGTAACATTCAGCTGCATAATTAATCACATGCCCTATCTATGTAATTTTCAGTAATTAACAGCCAGATTTTAATAAGGGCAAACATGCCATTTCATCCTGAGAGAGCTAAATCTTTACAGAAAAAAAGAACTACAAAACGAGTCATCCAAGCTCTTAAAAATCTGATGCTGAGAACTGTGCATAGCCCTCTCCAGTTCTCAAAATATTTACAACTCAGGAAACCTCTTGCCATGCACAAACAGCACAGTGTATACTGCACAAATAAGTACCCTGGTCACACCAACTTTTTCTGTAAGATCTGTTTTCCGTATTTATGGTACTACATTGACATTCTAAACCAAGGGTCCTCATCATAGAGCCTGTGGGCACCACAATGCCTGCTAACACCTTTCTGGTTGCCTGCCAAGGGCGTTTAGAAAGTGGGTGGGGCCAGATGAAGCTTTTTCCCAGCAAGGCTACTGATTGGTCACTGGAGATCTGACTGTGCAGATTTTTTAAAATGTTGCTTTGGTAGCAGCAGCCACCACAGCACAAGGATCTTCACTGTGTGACTGAAGATAAGCCACGGCAGCCATTTTGTGGCTGCGCCCACTGTGTCAGAATTCCACAGGTGCCTGTAGGCTCAAAAAGATTGGGAATCCCCGTTCTAAACTGTGGAGATGAATCCTTAACCTCTATTGCCAGAGGAACTGCTATGTCTTTGCCCACGTCCAGCCCCTTCTCAGTAATGAAGCCCCCCCTCTGGATGCTCAGTCATGAAGCCCCTCTGGATGGAGGGGGAAAAATCCAAATGAGTAGTTAGCACACACATGCCCAGGAACATGCCAGCCTTCACTGCAATCTGTTTGGCATAGCTGAAACGAGTAAACGAATGTATCAAAGCCTTTCAAATTGTATCCTGCAAGTGCAGAAGGAGAGTAACAATGGAAAAATATATCCAATTTAAAAACTTATTTACAGTCTAAAAGACTAGGAAAAGCCTCAGAATAAAGGAAAACTATATATTAAAATAACAACAACAAAAACCCACTGTGTAAATAATGGAAACAGAACTTAACAATGAACTCTTGGTTTTAGAATGTTCTCAAACAAACCTGATTTTCACATGTTAATCTTAAAGTACAAAGTCCCTTCTAACTCCCCAATCACGCATGCACTCTTTTATCTAGCTAGAAAGGCCATGCCCTACTGCACAAGGTATGTTCAGCAGAGATAGGCTCGAACCTAAAAAATCCATTCCAAACCTGCCAGTAATAGTAATTCCAGTTCAAACCAAACATTAAATGGTAATCGTGGGTGGGAGAAAGGGGGGAGGGGAGAATCACCCAGGAAGGGTTAAATGGCTAGGAGCCACTTAATCCATCTGTTTTGCTTCCACCCACTTCGAAGAATGCTTCAAAGCGAGGGGGAGCTAAACTGACAGGTTTAAATGGCTCACAACCATTTAAACCTAACAGCTGACAGGTGGACCCACCCCACTGTTAGGCTGAAATGACCATTTCATGAGTCTGTTTTGCTTTCCCCTGCTTGGAAGCAGGGGGAAGCAAAACCGACTGGTGAAATGGCTTGCAGCCATTTAAACCTAAGAGATCAGCTGCAGACCCACACTGCTCAGCTGTTAGGTTTAAATGGCATGAACAGCCGAACTGGACAAAAGTCTGGTAAATGTCTGGGGTTGGCGCCTTCCCCAAACATGGGTTCGGGGGCTCCAAACCAGGCCAAGTTCATGCCGAATTTCATGAACCAGTTTGTGCCCATCTCTAATGTTCAGTACTAACAGACAGGCTAAAAATAACCTTGAACTAGAAAGGGCTGATTGGCCTTATATTACAACATGCAGCAAGAACTTGAGTCAACTGTTGAAAGTTTAGTTTATTTTCAAAACTATATACTGAAGTGAAATAGAACACATTTAACTTAGCTTCTTTCTGAGTATTTGCATGTTTCCTTTTACGTTTCCCAAGCATCTCTTTGCAATCATGTGGAGCAGGATGATATAATAATTCAGGAACAAGCAGGGTTTAGGCAGGGCAGATCGACTATTGACCACTGTCTTCTACTTAAGCATCTTATAGAAAAATATGTTTGCAAGGGCCCCCCATCTTTATATGCGGCCTTTATCGATCTCAAAGCAGCCTTTGACTCTATTTCTCGACCTGTACTATGGAGTAAACTTGAAGCCTCCACAATAGATAGGAGACTTCTAGCTCTCATCCGTGCTTTACATGAACATACCTCCCTGAGGGTTAGATGTACCGGGTTGGGCCACCTGACAGATGAAATCTCCACCCTCAAGGGAGTTAGGCAGGGGTGTATGTTGGCTCCAGCTCTCTTCAACTTCTACGTTAACGATGTTGTTGGATATTTAAATGGTACAGATCTCCACTCACCCAAACTGGCCCAGCGCCCTATTCCTATACTTTTATATGCTGACGACGCTGTTATTCTTTCTAGAACCTCAATTGGCCTGAGAAGGGCATTAAAAAGGTTTGCCAGTTATTGTAGTGAACAGAAATTGATTATTAACTATCAGAAGACGAAGGTGATGGCCTTTGGCAGGAGACCTAAGTTAAGAAAGTGGAGTGTAAATGGCCAGAATCTCAAACAGGTAACCAACTTTCGTTACCTTGGCATGATTATCCAAGCCTCGGGCTCTAAATTCGCCCATAGTCAGGCAGCAGCATGTACGGGTGAGAAATCCGCCCAAGGTATACTCAAGTTTTTCCGAAGAGAGTGATCGCCATCGCCGATCCACCCACCAGAAGTCCCCTTTTAAAAAATCTTATTAGAAAAAAATGAATTTTGGTAATAATTTTTTGCATGCAGTTAATACAATATATGATTCCCCACAAGCTTCTATAAATATAAATAAAATGCTCTCCAAAAGATTCACTTTATAAAGGGCAACAAGGCAAGGCTGCCCCCATTGCCACTTTTGTTTGCCCTGGCAGTGGAGCCATTAGCACAGAAAATTAGAACCACAAAAAATATATCAGAAGTCCTAATAAAAATACAGAATTTAAAATCACATTTTTTGCGGACGATATGTTATTATTTTTAACAAATCCCACAATATCCCTTATCCGTTTTGGAGTCAAATAAACTTAGGAGGGCGTATACGCTGGCTAGATGCTCTGCTTTACCTTCTGCAGTTCTTGAGGGCAAATTCAAGAAAACTCCCCGAAATGAGAGGCTATGCATGTGTGCGTCTGGGGAGATAGAATCCCAGGAACATGTGTTCCTAAGATGTCCATTATATAACGAAGCTCGCACAAAACTTATTGGTCCTCTCTTGGTTGGCTCCTCGGATCAGGATAAGATAGAGAAATTGCTTTTAAATTCTGATCATATAGCGCTACACCAGATAGCGAAATTTTGTTGTTTGGTTGTAAAAGCTCATCAGTGTTCAGGCAGCCACTTGGGTTAGGACTGTTTGTTTTTAATCTAATTGATCTTTTTATTCTTATTATTTTATTTTTTTAAGACTAAAATTCTGTCCTTTTTTACACCGTATTTCTGGTTTTAGAGTTTAAAATGCTTGTATAATTTTACACAAATAGTTTTACCATCTGGATATTTTAGACATTGTAATCTATTTATATGATAAATATTTGTAGGTATGGTTTTATATTGCTGGCTATGCGCTGTAATAAATTCAATTCATTCATTCATTCTTTGCGATCATGGGGGCTAGCTGCTTTTTGACACAAAAACTAGCACTATGCTAAAACTGCAATATGAACAATTGCTGCCCCATATCTCAAAGGGGTACAACTGAACTTTGGCACCAGATTTCAAACCACTATTTATACCCGGAAACATTGATTAAAGCATACAACACACTCAAAAAGCATTGTATAGTCAACACTTTTCTCTCTTTAGACATAGAAAACACTTACCATCTAGTTGGGTGATGAATGTATATAGCCATACCACCAGAAGGGTAGCAGCAACTGTTAACGCTATGAGTTGCAATGGTTCAATCCCAGCATACTTTTCATTTACAAGACTTCTTGCTTTGTTTAAATACTGCAGGAAAATCTCCTTGTATGTACTAAGAACATCCTAGAATAAAGAACAGATAAGCAGAGAGAGTCAGGTCAAGTCAGAACTATGTTGCCTTCAAGACAGGCAAATCCAGCCTTTCCATGTACATGTCACAAAGATTTTTTCACAGTGATAAATATGTTCTCCTTTGCATTCTGTAAAGAAAAGCACAGGATTTAACTTTGCAGAATAAACCCATACTTGAATCAGCAGCTCTTTAGGTAGCACTGCTAAGCGAATAATGGGATGTATGATCAACACATTCAAATGCTCAACAAGGAATAACTATTTTCTGCAAGGTGTGGCTTGCAAATTGGGAGCTGCCTCTGGATCATGCATTGCTTCACCTATGCTCTTCACCTCAGCAAAAAAAAGACAGAAATAAATTTGCTCCCTTTCCTTGCTTGCCTTAAACACTGTTAAGCCTTACATTTTCCCTAAAGGTTATGTTTAACCAGGGTTCCTATCCTAACCAGATTTGGAAACCAGGGACTGAAGTGGATTTACAAACCCTCTGCAGTGAACTCAGGTCGCAGAAGACACAGATGTAATGGTAAATTATGGTTAAGGATGAAGAGTGATGAGAGGAGAACATTTTCTTATTTCTGTTCTTTATTTTCCATCCATAGTTTACAGTGAGCCAGTGTCAACATCTTCATCAGACAAATGGCTATTTTTCAGCTTCTAAGCAGTGCATATATTTTCCTACTTATATATTTATTTACTTCAGCTTTTCTCCCCAATGGAACTCAAGAGTCCTCACAGCAACCCTGTGAAGTAGAGTATGCTGCGAGTTTGTGACTGGCCCAATGGCACCCAGCGAGCCTCCACGGCAACTTGGGCCTCCCAGATCCTGGTCTGATACTCTAACCACCACAATACACAGGCCTAACAAATCTTTTAAGTAATCTCATAGATATTCATCTTGGGAAATCGCCTGCAATTATAAGGAAAACAATGTGCTGGAGTGCAGAGAAATAGGTGTACATTAAGTGTTGTCAAGTCACTTCCAACTTATGGTGATCATATGAATTAATTACCTTCAAAATGTCCTATCGTTAACAGCCTTGCTCAGGTCTTGCAAATTGAGGGCCATGGCTTCCTTGACTGAGTCAATCCATTTTATGTCAGGTCTTCCTCTTTTCAAAGATTTATTCTCTTTTCCAGTGACCAAAGTATGATAGCCTTAATTTTAAGTGATTTTAGCTTCCAGGGAGAATTTAGGCTTGATTTGATCTAGAACTCACTTATTTGTCTTTTTGGAACTCCTGATACATTTAAAACTCCTCTCCAACATGACATTTCAAATGAATCAACTTTCTTCTTGTCAGCTTTTTTCACTGTCCAACATTCACACCCATACATAGTAATGGGGAACACTGTGGTATGAATTATCTTGATCTTGGTCACCAGCAACACATCCTTACACTTAAGAATCTTTTCTAGCTCCTCATGACCTACCGATGGGCTGGTATGCCTCCATATGGTACAATTTAGACCTGAAACATTTTAACCAGCATACTATATGCAGAACTCTTTTTAAAATATGGAAAGAAGTAAAGCGTTTTCACTTGAAAATTGCAAAATGGGTATCACCGGTGGAGTGTGCTCCTGATTCAAACTGGGGTAACGGCTACAATGTATCTTTTAAAATGATGAAAAGATCCAATTATAGATCTCTCGCTGTGCAGTCCAGAGAATGTTTTCCTGGGAGTAAGTGCCACTGAATAGGCCTGAGTAGGAATATGAGTAGACCTGTTTGGGCTGGCACTGTAAGTGCTTTGCCCAGTGTAACCTTAGCCACTGCGTTTTTCGGCTCCCTAGATTTCCTTAGGAGAAACAGATTCTATTTGCGTGTCATCCAAACAGCTACGGTCCCCTCTCACTGAAGCTGCCACCAAGGATCCCATAATTTCTATTAGTGATGTCAGCAAAACTCAGTTACTTGGTATGGAATACAGATTTGCTTACCTCCTGATGGTCACCTATATCATACATGGAGCATTTGTTTCCTTCCTGAGTTCTAAATCAGCTCACCATGCTTCTGAACATTCACACAATGTGCTATTCTCTTAAATTTATTTTTAGTCCCAATCACAAGCATTGGTTGCAGCTCTAGCAGTGTAAGCAAAGACCACTCAAAAGGTACTTTAAAGGCTTTTTGGTACTGTGGGCAAAGGACATCCCAGAGCCATAGGAAAACAGAGGTTATATAATCCCTGAACTCCTCTGATCAGGTTCAGGAAAGCTTATCACTCCCACAGGCAATTAGTTATACATTGGCTTTATGGTTTTCTCTGCTAAAAAGTTCCCTCCTAGCCCTTGTTTCCTTGATATTATGGCTCAAACACCACCTGCAGAAAATGCAACCCAAAATGTGTCATAGCATTCTGAGGTCCCAGACCTGTGGCTTCATAAAGCCTTAGCTTTTTTAACATAGATGTGCTATATATGTACTGTAATGGAAGTGAGAAGTTCTGCTTTAACAATAGTGCTATAACCAAAGCATTTTCCAGTTGCATTTTCAATACTTCTACAGGGTTAACAAAAAAATCTCCTCCTCCTCCTATTTCCTCTGTAACTATTAATAAATTTCCATTAAAAAACAGATTCCAGAAAATGTCAACCAAGCCTGTTCTACCAATCTCCCATTAAAGCTGCACAACAGAAACACACATTTGCCCTGCTCCACATTGCTCCTCAGACCCATTGTTCAGCTTCCAGTCTACTCAAGGCCATGCAACTATAGGTACCTGCAAAGGTGTGGTATTTTGCTTTCATTGAGACATAGCAACACCATGAGCAACATGGCATATATTACGGAAACTCTTCACCTCGGTTCAACATTTGCACCTCCACAAATGGAGGAAGACTAGTCATGAGAAGGTGACTAGCATGCTACACATCTTAAAGACCTACTTATTTCTAAGTGTTCACATTCCACAGGCCTGCCTGATCCCTCGGGTAATACTTCTGCCTTACAGGGGCCCACAACTCTTTTTGTTGCAACTGACCCAGAACAAAATAAAATTAATCACAAGACTTGCAACCGGCTATATCTCCCTCAGGCAGACAGGTGGTACATAAATATCTTAAATAAAATAGATGGCATGAGTACAAGCCACAACAAAGATCTAAACTGACTTATTTCTAGAAGTCAGTATTATCAGATTCATGTCCTTTATCCAGTCTTTTTTGTATGAATGAACAATAGGGCTGCTATTCCCTGAATATTTACATTTGGATTAACAACTCTGAAGCTTCATTGATAGAAGAGGTACCAACCATCAAGCAACAGGCATTTAAAAAGATTTTAAACAGAACAGATTTATTTAATTTTATTTATTTAAAACATTTTATACCACTGGGGTCTACTGATCAGGATATTTATGTGTATACACAGAGGGAGAGTGCTGGATGCAGCTCTGAAATAATATTTCACATTAATTTGATATTCAGCAGTATTTCAGAATTCAGCTTACATTTCAAAGGTTTTTCAAATTTTGTTCTTGAAATTTACCTCTGAAAAATACTCCAAAATAAAAATTTAAATCAGGAACCATCCAAATTTGACACTGATTTATGTTGCTTTGTTAATGTGCACTTTTATGAATAGTTAATTTTTTGTTGCTTAATGTTGAACTTTTTTAAAAAAATGTAACCTTCTCACTCATTGTCCCTTTCAATACATATCCATTTGTTTTCCAGATGCTACATACGGTATCTAACCTGAGGAATTTGGCATAGGGTTGCCAAGTCGATCTTCTGGTGTGTGCGCCGCATGCATGTCATCCAGAAGTGACATGACGATGGCAGGCACGTTGGGGGCAGGGCCATGGCCATACGAGGGAAAACCATAGAGTTTTCCCTCAGACTGCCGTGGCCCCGCCCCCAGTGTGCCCGGCGTGGTCTTGTCATTTCCGGGTGACGCGCACGTCAGGGTGGAGTCCCCCCAGGGCCCCGATCCGCCAGCGGCGGGGAACGGACCTCTGGGGCGGGGTTTTCCCCGTCCCCCAGGGGGACTTGGGAAGCCTAGTTTGGCAGCTGTAGATACAACACACACATTTTTAAGGCCTGCTTTCAAAGGAAAGCTGACAGGACACCTCACTGCTAGACGATGAATCTATTTGTCTTTACACATCAGTGCTTTTATGCAACAGAAGATCACGTTCCAGTTTTACAGAGGATCAAAGTTCAGCATCTATTACTCTGTCTGCTATTTGTCAGTATATTAATAGAGATCAAATGATTCAATCCTGCCAAGCCAGTGTTTTCTACCAGAATGCAAGAGATAACAATTCCCTTACCTTGTAATCTCCCCCCTGAAAAGTCCCATATATTTTATTGCTGCCTTATAGCTGCATTGCACAATGAAACTGCTGAGCACATAGAGGAACAGGGAAGACACCAATCTACCAATCCCCGATAACCCTCCAAATCCACCCCTCTGAACATTCCGTGCCCTGACCTGGATAGCCCAGGCTAGCTTGATCTTGTCAGATCTCAGAAGCTACACAGGGCCAGCAGCCTTGGTTAGTTTTTGGATACCTGCTTAGGCTAGAGGCTGGATTAGGATCTTGGTTTCACGCCATTTGTTTACGGCTTAAGATAAAACTTTCCCCTTCAGGACTACCGTAATTCTTCTAGACAATTTCTGCTCAAGCTGGGTTTCAACAACTGAATGTAAATTATCACTACTGGGTTTCTCCAGTATAGTTAGTTATCCTGCACCTTGGCTATAAAGGAGCTAGAGAAATGATTAAACAGAGGTTATGGGATACCTCTTTACAAGCAGATAAAGCACGAGCCTTGTACGTCCCAGCGGCGGGGAGCAGGAAACAAAACTTTGTTCCGTCCAATTATCTTTTTTCATTGGAACTCCCGAAATACTGCAATGTCACAAAAATAAGAAAATAAAAATAAAAATAAATAAGAGCTGGAGAAAACCTTCCAGGGCCAGGTGAAGCGACTGCGGTGGGTAGGTGGGTGGTGGGAAGCGTAGGTGAGAGAAAAGCGACAGCTGCTGCTGCAGCAAGGGCAGTGGAAGAAGCGATGGTCGTGGATGCCTGCAGCCCACACCCCTGCCCTGCCCTGATCACTGGTTCTCAGCTTCGCCTTCCCTCCCTGCCCGGTTGCAGTGCCTGCACTCACAGCCAGTTGCTGGCATTGGCCGAAAAGGCAGCCAGGATGAGAAGCAAGTAGTGAGCACAGGAAGTCGTGTGGGTTAATC